ATGCCGCTGACACTGCTCCATCACTTGTGCCCCCAACATCGTAGAGTCATAGAATAGTTAGGGTTGGAAAGAACATTAAGGTCATCCAGTTCCGACCCCCCTGCCATGGGCAGGGACATCCTTGAGTCCATGCTGGGAGCCTCCAGCTCCTCCAGCAGGGTCTGGAAATGTCACCCCTATTCCCTGCAGCGGGCTCCACAGGCTACAAGGAGATGGAGGGATATTCTATGTGGCTGTGCTGGCAAATGTTGTCTTCACTGTGAAATTCACTTCTGGACAGGCAAGGAAGCGAAAAGCTTCATCCTTTGCTCCAAGCAGTCGTGGCAAGTTCGTTCTGTACAGAAGAAAAGTGCATTTTGAGGCTGTGTTTGTCAGCAGGAGGAGCTGACCATGCAGTGAACCCGGCAAGTTTGTTAAAACCCTGTGTAGATAATGTAAATACAATTCTTGTGAGTAATGGCTGGGTTTCCTTGTCTCTTTCTGCTTCCTGAGAAGATGTTTTGCTGAAAACATATTGTATTAGGAATTATTTTTGGGCCTGCCCCTCCTGTCACCCCTCCTGCTCCCCTGTCCATTGTTGTGAAAGAGTGAAGCTGGGCCTGTGTTCATATGCTATATGTGCTCCTTCACCTCTCAAACCTCTGAAGGCTTGCACTCAAATCAAGGTCCAGCCCGCAGCCGGAAAAGGACTGCTTTTTGGATGTGTTATACAAAACCTTGTAATGTCAGCTCAGCTTGGTGGGCTTTCAGAAATGGGGAAGACCCACTGAAGTCTGGTGAGCCCTTGCTTGCTGTTCAACCTTACATAAGGTGAACGGGCTCTACCCTGACAGCCATTGCAGGCAAGCCCTAAACCAAAATGCCTGCTGCTTCCAAAGGACAGAGCTCTCTTAAGCAAAGCTACATCCAAATGTTGATAATCTCTTAAAATGTCTTCGCGCTCTTGAAAGGGACCAGTTCTTAGGTCTGTTTTTCTGCAATCCAGATGCTAATTTACCTCTGACTTGATGCAAACTGACAAAGCCCCTGCCTGTCCTTTTTGTTGTAGACCTGACAATACATCTCTAGTGACTTTTAGTTTCCGGTATTGTTTCATTTTCTATTGTACTCTGGTTTTCAGTCACAGAAGCTAAGCTCTCTTCACCTCTGGCTCCAACATATGTGAAACGTATTAGCAAAGTCCTGGGTTACCTTTTCTGTACGTGGGAAAATACCGTTCTTTCTGGGTCTTTCTAAATATCTCTGTCCCTTTCCCCACCCTTTCCCTGTATTATCACACACGGACTGGTTATTTGTCCTTCAGCAGCTACTGTTGTTTCCTAGGGTCTTTGCAGTATTAAGAAGTTTCATGCCAAATGTAGCACAGAAAAAAATCTCGAAAATCGGTGCCTGAAGCTACCCTCTGGAACAGCAAATTGCTTTTCCATAGCTATCTTCCCAAAACAAAACCAAAGGTCCCACTTGAAGCCCTCCTGTCTTTTACCGGCTTTTAAATTGAATAGCTTTTGCTGTAGATTTGTATTCATTCGCTGCATTAACGTCCTGTAATTGCCATGTCCTGCGCTAGAACAGAATGTGTCTGTGTGCCTGCAAAGGGGTGCCTCTGACAGAGAACAGACTGAACTAGATCGCTGACACGGATGCAGGTTGTGGTGTTTCCGTTCTCCTCACTGGAGTAAAATTCAGATTCACTGTGTAAAAATAGTCATACTTGTCTATTCAGATGTTATCCGTGCTGAGGTTTGTTGTCCTGGCCTCAGCAGTAGCAGTCATTTCTCTCCTGCTTAGTAGCTGGTGCAGTGCTGTGTTTTGGACTTTCAGCCTGGGAACAGTGCTGATAACACCAATGGTTTCAGTTGTTGCTCAGTAATGTTTACTCTGACCAAGGACTTTGTGAGCCTCACGCTCTGCCAGGGAGGAGGGGAAGCCAGGAGGAAGCAGAGGCAGGACACCTGTCCCAAAGAGGTATTCCATCCCCCAGCACGTCATGCCCAGTATAGAAACTGGGGGCAGTTACCCAGAAGGGCTGGATCACTGCTGGGTCGGGCTGGGTATCGGTCGGTGGGTGGTGAGCGGTTGTATTCTCTCCCCTTATTATTTCCCTTATCATTATTATTCTTGGTGGCAGCAGCAGTGGTTTGTGTTCTACCTTAGTTACCGGACTGCTCTTATCTCAACTCATGGGAGTCACATTCTTTCCATTCTCATCCCCCTCCCTCTGGGAGCAGGGGGAGGAAGGGGGGGAGTGAGCAAGCAACTGTGTGGTTCTGGGTTGCCTGCTGGGCTTAGAATCATAAAACAGTTAGGGGTGGAAAGGACCTTAAGGTCATCTAGTTCCAGGGCAGGGACACCTCACACTAAACCATGCCACCCAAACTAAACCATGCCACCCATGGGTTAAACCATGACATTTGTGCAGAAGAGTGCTTACAGAGGACCATCTATCTCTTCAGCTTTTTTCTTCTTCATCATAGTTATGTTTTAATATAGTGCATGATAAATAAGATTCTTCCACATCATAACTAATTACTGCCTATATAACATTACTACTGAGTCACGACCTACTAAGAAGTTTCCTCCATGATTTACCATTTATCACTAACAAGAATAAATAGTTGACCCAGCTCCTCCATAGTTTCTTCCAATCATCCAATCATAGGATTGATGCCTATGAAATGAGAATCACTTCCAGAATTTAGTAAACAATCTGAACAACGAGGGATGGTGGTCTCCCTTATACATACTCCCAGCAGATACAAGAAATGTTTGTAGTGCAAAAGGCATTGTTCTCAGTGGAGGCGTCCTGAGGAGTATGCACATCACTGGTCTTTAAAACAGGAGATACCATTCCTCCAGGGCTTTTTTACGTGGCTGTGCAGTTTACTATATTGCATGTAAACCTTTAGAGAGCGCTAAAACACGAGCCTTTCAGAGTATTTGCATTCATTACATCTTGTACAACAGCATGAAAACCAAGCATCTTTCCTCTTAATTTCTTGCTGCATTCTCCACTTGTGGGAATGGGGATGTAATGAAAATAGCGAACATTGAACAGAGATGTTCAATGAGTGGGTAAGTATGCAACCATTTATCCTGGTTAACTACCTAGTCAAGTGTTTGTGCAGGGGTGAAGTTACACTGGGTAAATCCATAGCACCCATCGCAATCTGCCTGCTGGGCTGCATGCGTGCACCAGCTCTGCTGAGCAAGGTGCCACACTCAGAGCAATTGGGCTCTGTGCAGATAATACCCCTATGCCACGTGTGAAAGGAAATCTCCAGGAGCCTGCTGCCATCAGAAATAGCCCAAGGTCCTGCAAATCCCTCAGTTCCTGCCCCTCCCCAAAATGCGAACTCAACCCTAAGCATTATAAAGAAAATAGGGGAGAAAGTCACATTTCTTCTCTGGATGAGTGTTGTGTGAATTCCTTTTCAGCAAGGATGAAGGAAACAATAAATAAAAACTCAAGGCAATGAAAATGTAGGTCTCTGTTCAACTTTAATCTTGCATCTATCTTTGCTTCTCAAAAGGTTTTCAGTTAGCTAAAAATACAGTTAAAGTCTTAATCATCCCTCTGAACTTTAAAGGTGAATTTTCTTTCCCATATAGTTTTTTAAGCATGTATTATTGATTGTTAAATATGAAAATAATTCCCTCCCTGCTTTTTCTTCTTTGGTGAGCTGTGGTTAGCCTCACTGCCGTGATTTTCCTGAACACAGCCATAGAGCTGCAGCATAAAGTCATCTCTGCAAACATGGCCCTGAATTAAAAAACACAAGTCTGCTAATGTGAAATCCTACTTTGGTGTGGCCAAAATCTACCACGCTAAAGGAAGCTGTAACATGTTATATGGCATTAGCCAAAGAAAACTGTTATGTCTGTCTTCAGAGAGAAAACTGGAACAATATAAGGAAACCCCATTTCCCAATATACTGAGGTTTTCTGTAAGTAAATGAGTAAGGCCTGAAGAAAACAGTTCAAATCACAATCTTCTTGGGAAATCTCCGGATCTCAACCATATGTCAATATTGCAGGTATGTTATTATTGAAAAAAAAATAAAATCAAGAAGGAAACGTTCACACTGAAATGTTCAAACTAGCAGTTCAAAACTTCCAAAATGTGGCACTGCAAAGAGGCATTTCTTGCACTGTCCCATTTCATTAGGCAAATGAAAGCTGTAAAGGATCATCAAAGTCTCATGCTTCAAACGCAGTCCTCCAAAGAGAAGGAATTTCCACAGATGTGCAAGGGTTGAGCTTCCCTTTCTCTTTCTAGCACATCATATCGGCCATGGGCATCGCAGAGAAGGATGCTGTACTAGGCTGAATAAATAAGCTTAATAGAGAAACCTGAAATCCAGAATCAGCAGATTAGGTGAAAGGAATCCAGTATCCTTATCTAAAAATTAACTTTAGATATTCTGAAGGAAGAAGAGGGGGAAATTGTGTTAGTACAGATGAGATTTGTCCCATATCCTTCACTAGGCAGGATGACCAGATGTTGCTCAATTACGTGTGAGCACTTTTTCTTTCCTCTGTGTTGTACCTTCACACAGGACAATGTAGGGATTGTAAGAATTACTCCACATGTTACCATCTTCCTGGTTTGCAGTGCTGAATGTAAACGTGCTCCAACCAAAACCCTTCATAGGCACTTAAGAACAGATTCCTCTTGAAGGTCCTCTGTGTAGCTTGTAAAGTGTCCTTCCAGTACTGTGTTAGAGCTGCAGGCTTGCAGATAATCCATCCTAATGTTTTCTTTAAATCTTTCTTTGTTTTAAATTTGAATCTTCATAGCTTTATCTTACAGTTCCTTTGAATTCTTGTGATTTAGTGCAATGGGTTTCATTGTATATAGGAGCAGCAGCAGAAGTCCTTGGTTAGTGTCTGGAGGAAGACAAGGTTAAATTCTGTATTGAGATATGATTCATGAGTTGACAGGCTACTTGATGCAAAGAACCAACAACAACAGTAACAACAGAAAAAAACACAACTCCAAAAATGAGGTAAGAAGTGTTCATTGGGAAAGAGAACTCAGGATGTACGTAAGCATCAGGACCAACGTCAAAACCTTAGCAGCAGGCAGGAGCATGCTGGCACTGGACCAGTACACCTTGCGCTCGTTCAGGAGCTGAACAGGCCGGAAGTTTTCAGTCATGTAAGTTGAGTTCCTCCCATCAAAGTGGAGTGTCGAGAACTGAGAAATCTGCAGGCATCAAAGAAAAAGATTGTTAAATCCTCTTTCCATAGAACGCTGTAAAATACGATGTTATAAATCTATAGTGCCTTAGTCTGGTTTTGAACTGTATGGATGCATAAACCTTGCAGGAAACAAGGTGATGGAGGCTACTGCCAGACGTCACCAACACTTGACTTCTTTTAACCTTGGAAATCACGGGCACTTCCTTTCTGTGTGAGCCAAATGCTTTGTCCAGCTCGAGGAGCTGGTTACACCAGTCCTCGTGACGCACATAGTCCTGTCCTTGTCCGTCATATCCCAGTGACACCAAGAGAATTAGGGTTTCTTTCTTTGCCTCAAATTTCTGCCTGTTGCATCATGGTGCTGGCCCAGAGCGAGCAGGTGCTCACTCTTGTGCACTGTGCTCTTCTGGCTGTGTGTGGCTGAGCATTGCTATGTGACTGAAGTGATTATGAGCACACTGCAGGTAGGAACTAAACCACAGCTGCTGGCTGTTGGCCAGGCTGTGCTGGCTGTAGTACTGCTGCGAGTCCACTCCAGGACATCCGAATTTCTTAATCCTGTACTGTATTTTTGAGACAGTCATGATTCAGTCTCCTGTTCCAACCTCTAGGACAAACACGGATTGCTTAAAGCTGATGCTGATAGACTCAAAGTTTGCATTTTGAAGTATTCTGTTCTGATATTTACACCACTAGGAGAAAAGAAGTGGGACTTGGGAGTGAGCAGATGACAGCAGTGGAAGTGCTGCTGCTGAAGCACTCGGCTAGGTGTTTACCTGTGGGATTTCTTTGGCTTTCTTTTCACATCGTCATTTCCCCTTCCTTCCCCTTTCCTGCCATTTTTTGAGGGATGATTTAATAGGGTCGAAAAGCTGTCACGAGGGACTACGTTTTGGCTAATGTCAAGCACGTGTGTGTGTGTCATAGGAAGAAAGCAGTGGAGCAGCTAACAAGTCTGGGTTAAATTGTGTGACTGAGCAGGCAGCCAAAGGGCAACCAACCATCAGCAGATCTTCCAGGCTACCCTTCTGTGCCTTACCTGAGAAACACTGAGCTCAACTGGCTTCTCAAATATGGTCCAGATGACACCCTCATAGCAGTCAGGAGTGGTGAGGGAGCCCTCATACCGATAGTACCTGCCAAGGTCTTTCTCAGGTGGGAGAAGAGAGCTCAGCGGCAAAGGGTCCATCTGTGCCGTTTGCCCTAGACAAACCACATGGAAATGTCTCTTGTAACAAGCACAGCTCTGGCTGTTGTTCATCTTTGTCTTCACCTGTGGCTGGTACTTACGGCTGCATAAAGCCCCATCCCCACACGTGCTCCCCACGAGACCCGGGGCAGCCACACTGAGCTGAAATCCCCGAGTGCCCACTGCAGGAGCACATCTCACACACAGCTCTGTCAGCACTCTGCGTGATTCGCTTCTCACTTTGTTTCCTTCTGCAGAAGCAGGAGGACTCATTGTGGCCCAGTGCGGGGAGGGGGGGTGGTTCTTCACTGCAAACATGGAGAACGAGATTTTCTCCATCTGTGATGCTCTGAGTGCTTGACAAACTTCTATCTTTTGGCTCTGACTTTCAAGTAGCAATATCTACTGTAGGTATGACAGGATTGGACCATGAACTGCTCAAAATAAATACCTGTTGTGTTTTGACCAACAAACAGAAGTGTCTTACCTTTGTATTTAATATTCTCTAATTCATTTACTAGAGTTTCATAGTTTTTATTTTCTTCTTCAACCTGAAATGGAAATATGTTGATTCCAAATCACACATTTCTCAACAACTGGTTGCTTTGAATTGCGAATAAGACAGAAAAGAACCATGAAGCTGAAAGATAACAGCAAGATGAATGCAGAAAAGGGTAAAGGAATTAAGTGCTTGTCCTGAATGCCTGCAGAAGATAGAGAGACCAAGGTCTTGGATTACCATAACGTTAACACAATTGATGACTCAGCCAAATTGCTGGTATATTTGAGATGGGCAATTACAAAACTGGTGACATACCTTTACAAAGAAGGCCAGCACAGCCACACCATCCTCGGTTTTCTTCGCTTCTGTTACATCCGCAACATCTTCTCTTATGTGGACAATATGAAGCTGTAACCCAACAGTAAAGGCCATTTATTGTTCATTTTCCTCTACAGTTCAGTGGTGGAAAGGCAGCCTGGCTGCTTCTTTGCACCTGTGCTGCAGCAGGGCCTGAGCTGCTTGGCTGGTCACAGGCTGGGAACCAGCAGCTCAAAGTCCTTGGCCTGAGGCAGGAGCTAGCAGTAAATGGACTGTAATTTGAAGCTAGCATTCATCAACAACGGCTTCATGGATTTTTACATCGTGGTTTGAAAGGGGGTCGTTTTCTTCCACTAATCCATGTGTATCAGCACTGGCACTTTGTCTTGCCTCGAAGAGAATAAATTTTTTTGGTTGCACAGGTCAACTCATGGCTGCAGTCCCAGAAATTAATATATAATCTGGATAAGCAGCCTGAGAGTGTAATCAGACTGTATAGACTTTGAAATGTTTCTCCTCCCAAAAGGCAATATAACTCCAGATTTATCATCTGTCCTGTGCCTTTGCTATGCAAAAGTAGCGTGAGTCCTGATGTTGTCACTTGTTTAGCAAACAAGGCGTCCTCAGTTCTTTATTTCTACTGTTGGGGTTTCATAGGAGAGCTAGCCAATGGTTTTTGTGCAGCAGTATCTTACATAGCCAAAGTTCTTGAGTAAAAGCAGCAATCCAAAACCAGTCTCACCTACCTCCATGGCTTGTTTTTCTCCATCTATGCTGTGCTCTGACCCAGGAAGGTATCGCTGCACACCGGGGGCTCCCCAGTGCAAATGAAATTCTATCGCCTTGTATTTTCTTCCCAGACCTCCACCTCCAATTTTAGGGGATGTGCTTAATGTTACTTTAACTGGGGAAAACAAATAGGTTGTTAAAAAAAATCCAAAGAGATCACACGTTAATAGTACAGGAGAGTAGAGGGATGTATGATCTTGAGATTCAAATGTCTCCTGAAGTCCTGAGTGCACCAGAAGCTGAGCACTGACAAAAGGCTGGCTGAGATTAATTTGAGATGAAAAGGAGAAATATCATAGTCCACTTCCCAGTAACATGCAACAGCATTTGGGCATCCCTTTATAGCATAGGACTTGGAGCTTCTGTTCCCACTTCTACCTAGGATTAGCCCTGTGGACTTGAATGACCTGTGTAGAACCTTACTTGCTGGAGAGCTGAGCTACCCATTACTTCATTTGAATAAATACAATAAATTTGATGATACTTGTTTCCCTTTGTAAAATGGAGGAAAAGGACAGAGAGCTTCTTTGGGTTGTTCCAGGGGAAGGGATTTATAGGATTTTACAGCATCTTTTGGCATATCATCAGCTACTCGCATTTGGAAGAAACCAGGGTAATGGACTGTCTTTGCTTGATTGCACTGAGGGGATTTGTTCACTGTCATTATAACCCCAGGAGTAAGAACTACTCAGACCTTTCAGAAGACCCTATATTCTTTCATTTTATTGTCTAGGGGAACACCCTATGTTAAAGTATTCTTAAAAGTCATCTTGACCATGGTTTATTTGATTTTTAAGCATCTTCCTATCTTCTATTGTCTGCACTGTAACATTTGTTCTAGTCAAGGTGTAAAGATACTCTCATCTATTTTAGAGTAGTGTTGCAACTTCAGCCTAAGCATCTAAGTCATTACATCTATTTGATGTGATGCTTGATCTGTTGTTAACAGCAAAACAACATTTTCTTAGGAGCTAATTTTCTAGTTATAAATTGCCATCACTTCCTGCGCTTGCGACATTTGTGATGTATTTTGTAATGTTTAGACTTCTACATTAAGCACAGTACTTCTCTTTCCATAGGAAAGACTGCTTTAACCTGGATCGAAGCCCCAGAGATTTCATTTCTGTTCTGAATTCCAAATGAACTGGAAGCCTGTGTGAGTCAGTTTTCTTTTTTATCTGTAAATGGATGAGTAACATATCTTTGTGGGCTTTGTTTATTTAGATTGTAGACCTTGGAGACACTGACCTTTGCTGTCTGCACATCACAGACCATAATGGCAGTCTAATCTCACGCAGAGCTTCTAATTGCAGCTGTAGTTTAAGCAATAGCAATTCCAGTTTTGTACTCATTTTAGCACAGGAATTGGTTGCCCTCAAAAGGAAGAAATTTTAAAAGCCCAGACTGCAAAACTAATTCTTTTGCATGGCTGTAAAAGACGAGAGATCTGACCCATCCTTATGAATGCGAAGTGTTGTGTGAAAGAGATTTCTATGCACAGCCACTGTAATGGGGAGATTCTAGAATATCATTCTATAATGGAAAAGCCATTAACCCATACACTAGTGAAAAGTCAAGATATGTATTTTTCTTATGGTCTGTCAAGCTACTGATGTTTTAAACTAGAATCTCTGGCCGTGAAAACCTACCCAGCTGTTTGCCTTCTTCCCTTTCTATTTTACAATAAGGAAATATTTGCCATTTGCAGCTTTCCATTTTAGGGATTTAGCAGTTAAAAACCCCAAACCATCAAAGATCTTAAGAACACTTATAGAATCATAGAATCCCAGAATCCCAGACTGATTTGGGTTGAGAGAGACCTTAAAGCTCATTCAGTTCCCACTCCCTGCCCCGAGCAGGGACACCTTCCACTAGGCTAGGTAGCTCCAAGCCCGTCCAACCTGGCCTTAAACATTTCCAGGATGGGGCATAGGTAGATTTTATATATAGATAATGTTAAAAAGGAAAAAAAAAAAAAGGATAACAGATTTATTTCTAAAGTTGAAGTAATTCAGTATAATATTGTTGAAGTGCCATCATTAGTATTGCTTTTACTGAAGAGAAGTGGAGGAAGTAAAACAGCTCTAAATCACTGTTCACTGATTCACTGTTTACTGATATGCTGTTCACTGAATCACTGTTTACTGAATCAGCAAACTCCCATTGGATTACTTCTGAGTGCAGAGAAAACGGGGTGAAATCTAAGGAGATTTGAGCTCGTTATTAAAGACCTAGCAGGACACACATGTTGTGAGCCACTAGTTGAATGGCTTTCCCAGATCGTGTTCTTCAGCAGAGCTCTCCTTTGTGTGGAAGCAAGGGTCAAACAGGTCAAGCACAGAAATGAAACCTATAGGAGCATTCAGTAGAAACCTCTGCCAAACCCGTTGTCCTGAACCCCTACACCTACCCACCTCTGTTCCTAGAGGTTGTTTGATTTAGAGGTTCCCTAAACATCTTGAGTTCTGTTTCTGCACATGCACAGAGCCGCTTTCTGCTGAGATACTCAAGGACCATGTCCGGAACCCCAAAACCAGGTAATTCCCACAAAGTTCCCAGAAAGCCTTGGATCAGAAGGTATTCTGAATGTTTAACTTCTGAAATACAGGGGTGCTCTCTTAATTCGGCTTACTTGCTTCTAAGTAGCAGTAGTTATATCTAACCTTGCCCACGGTGAATGCATGGTCCCAAGAAGAGGAACAAATAAATCCCATGACAACATATTTGACAGTACTTGCCTGTATGTCCATTGTTTTCTATGTTCCATTTCGAAGACCCCTTCACATCATACCCTTCAAAATTCAGTGGCTTAAGGTTTTTGTCATAGGTGACATTTTTGGTGACAATATTGACAGGTGACTGTTTGTTCCCTTTGCAGACGGCATCTGTTAGATACCATTCTTGAGGAGCTGCGTAAGGATGAAGAAAAGAATTTCTTTCTGTAGACAGCAAATCCTTGATAACCCCAAATCACCCAACAGTCAATTTGCTCTTGCTTGGGAAATTGGGAACATCTTTGAAGAAAAGGTCTTTGTATGTTGGAATGCAATCCAGCACCTTTCTTAGCATGTTATTTTTGTGGATTTAAAATACTCATAGGTCATAGGGTTTTAAAATAGAAATACTTTGTAGCATCATCCGTGGTTGAAACAAAATTAATATTTAGCCCAAAACACTGCTATCTTCAAAATGCCATTCTTTAGGTACCCTCTATAGCACTTACATTTACATTTAACATGATCATGCAGCGTTAAATGAGGAGTTGTGTGAATTTTTGCATTATTTCTATCAAGAAGCCCTTTGCAAAAGAGAAGAATCCAAACACTAACGGGACTGGGAAAATGAACTGTTGAGCAGTACCTTCGCAGGACGGCTGTGCGCACTTCTGTGACTGATAGCACCAGTGGTGTCCAACTACAAAGAAAATAGAACCATCAGGTGTTAAAAATCAGATGAATGGAAAGCTGCAGATGGGAATGGATTTGTAACTTGTGATGCTGACACAGTGATGACCGGGCACAGAGCTTTGACAATGTCTTGGTATTGTCTGCCCGATTCTATTAGAGAAAGATGTTTCATTTCATAAATACATAACCAATGGCTGGTAAGAGGTGAGTGCTCCAGCTGGAAAGACATCTTCAGTTGCTAGAGATTTCTTAGCAGTATGAAGCACACCATCCGGTGAGTCTAGCTGGGTTTTAGCATCAAATAATCCAGATGAAAGCATCAGAATCCTGCAGTGAGTAGCTCTGGCCTCTCTCTGGATCTCCTGTCTTTAATGCATCAGTGTATACCTGTTAGTATTCCTTCCAAAAACTAGCAGGAAGTGTTAGAACGCTAGCTAGGTTGCAGTTCCGAATAATGTGGGTTTGAAACCTTGGCTTTGGTAGCTCCTTGAGGCAAAAGTTCCACATCTGAATATATGCAGTGTTAAATAAATTTCCTTACATCAGCTCTGCACTTGCCATCCTTCCGCATACTTGTAAATTCACGTATGCAGGATGACTTCCCTCACTGTTCCAGAAACTATTTTAAAAACGACTTGGTGCAATAAGGAATTTTGGGGAATGCAGGGTCTCATTTCCCAAAAGACATGAAGAATCTTTAATTCAGCTGAGCTGTGAAACCACACTGATGGCTGCAGAATTCTTCAATAGAACATCTTAATGTTACTTTTTCATTGTCAGAAGAAAATGAAATTCAGAGGAAGAGCTGATTTAACTGAAGTATCTGGTCAGGAAAGTAAGGACTATTAGATCTATGCTTCAGTGGCTGTTCATGACAGTTACAACGTTCAAACGGACTTTAACAGGAGCAGTCCTCTTTTCTGTTTAATCCATAACAATTCAAACCCTCTTTTAATCATGATTAATACTACAGGTTCTGTTGGCCTATGGTTTGTGAATTATAGACATTTTAACCAATGGCTAATCAATTCTAGGGGTTATTATGGAGAAGACCTGTCATTTGATTGCTAATTGCCATAATTTGTGATCTTTTATAACACGTCTGCTGGAAGGTTCATAACTGCTTCTAACGCCTTCATATCAGTAGCACAGCAATACCATCCATCTAGTCAGTATTTAGCAGCTATAAGTAGATAGCAAATGTGACTAGCTTTAACAACTGAGGGACACTTGGGTGAGTTTGTAGCCTGAATATAATATATTAAATATATAAAATTAATATAATATATCTAATATAATAATATATTAAATTTAATTTATAGTTTTACTGTTTTAATATTTTAATTCTAAATAAATATATAAAATAATGCTGTTTCAGTTCATCTCTCACAAAAATTTATGCTGAAAACTCTGAATAATGTTGACTCTTTCTGGTTTAGCAAACATTTAGCGCTACTGAGAAGAAAGGTAAAGAGCATCGCTACATTTGTGATGTAAGTGCACTGATTTCTACGTTGTTGGGCCATTAATGTTTTGTAATGACCAGAAAACTGGTTTTGACAAGGATTTAGTTTTTGACTCACTTCTAAACACAACCAAAACTCAGCCTTCGGACCTGCCATTTCTCAAATGGATTGTTGCATTTTCTCAGGCCTGGGTACACAAGACAGAGGCCAGACCTCCAGCAGCACAGAGCGGAGCAGTTTCTCATCTCCACTGGGGAATGACCACAAGTTCCAAGCACAGAATGTCACCAAGTCACTGTTCTAATCCATAAATGCCTAACAAATGCCAGGTAAGCCAATCTTCACAGCGCTTGGTTCTGTTTCATACGTGTTAGTGTTTGCATGGGTGAATGACTACAGACATGTTTTTGGCAACTGCTCTAGACGAGTGGTCAGTGTGTGCTTTAACAATAGCTGCACCAGCACCCTGTGATTGGGAGTGCTCTTTCTTTGTGAGTTATATGTTCATGAACCTTCAGGAACAAAAGTGCTGCTCTGCAGGAGCAACCTGGATGCAAATATTGCAAGGTGGCAGCATATATGCAGCATGAGAGGAGAGTTACCAGCAAAGATCTGGTCTCAAAGTCGCTGGGGTGTGAGTTAAACCAGGGACGAAAGTCCTCAGGTGAGGAATCAAGGTCGATGGAGGTATTCTGCTCTGTTTACTATAACTTCTTGGAACAAGGTCTGCTGTTCTGGGCTTGTACAGTGCCTTGCACAATGGGAGTGTGATCGTGACTTAGACATCAAAGCATTACTGTAATGCAAATCAGATTTTCCGGTCAATATGATTCACAGTTAGGAGTAAGTGCAACGAGTTCATTGGGTGCAAGGTTGTGGACCATGACCACAGAACCCTGAAAATCAAAGACAACCACAGGAACCACCGAGGGAAGGTAAATACCACCAAATCACATTGTTAGTGGTCCTGACGTGGTGTCTCTGTACCAGAGGAATGAAATGGAAGTGGGTTATGGAGCCTTTCATTGCTGTGTCTGGGTCCAGCCCTTCTCAAACAAAGCAAAGCTGACTTTTTACTAGCTGGTAGGTGTTCAGCAGGCTCATGCCTCAGGAGACTGAAGCATAACCACGCTCAAAATGCTTCAGCCTGAATGGTAAGACGATGGGGAGAAAGAGTTTAAAAAATTAAAGATAAAGAATCCAGCCTTCAGGTGGCCACTGCTGCCTTGCACCCAGCACTGGGAGTATTCTTCCCTTCTGTCAAATGCAGCGTGCACCCAATGATTGGTGTCTGATCTCCGTGAGCTTCCTGCAAAGTTCCTAATGTCTACAAACTAACAAAAATGAAGTGTTTTCTATCAAGCACTTATCACAGTTGTGGTTTAGAAGGTGGGATGGTATCAGTGAAGTAGAACAGGTTATAAATTCAGCAGTTCATAAGAAAAAGGTTAAATTTTAATAAGTGAGCTAATTAAACATTGCAGAATGCAAACAATGATTTAATGTTCATTAGGAAAGGGATTTTTCTTCTGATTGGTGGTAATATAACATCAGAGAGCAGGATCTTCTCTGCAGATGCTGCTCAGGAGGAATCAAACTGTTTCACTTGCAAGGATTTGGATTTGTTTGTGTCAGGTGAGATTCCTCCGTGCATATAGAGAGCTTGTATTTACAGTGCTCCTTTCCCCCCCGGGCTTTATGGCTTTATTTCTGAAGCACGAAGGAAAGGTACTTGTCACATCCAGTCAGTTGTCTGTGGTCTTAGGCATGATTATGCCCTAAGGTATGTTGTCTAGTCTAGTTTTAATTGTCTGAGCGGCTCCTACCACTTCCCTTAGGAGACTTCTCCACAGTCTATTAGCCTCCACTGTCAGGAAATGCTTCCTGTTGAAGAGCTTATATTTTCCACTTGCTTATCTGCATCCCATCGCTCCTAGAAATATCACTGAACCACCCTAAGCAATTCTTTTCCCTCCTTGATGTTTACAGCAGTCAAATATTTCCTTCATAATCTGTAATTTCTGTTCTTCCTTCATCCATCCTCTGTCCCATCTCCTGATATGCCCTTCACCTTTCCACTGTTTCCACCCCAGAGCTCCTCATCTCTCTTTCTCTGAAACCCATTTCTTACGGGGACCCTGCACATCTCTGATCCCACCCTGCAGTCCTCTCACCTGGCTGTTCTTCCCATCAAACCTCAGCTCCCCCATTCCTTTTCCTGTTGTTTCTTTTATTGCCTGGAGAAAAGCAGCAGAAAGGGGAGGGTTTTGTGGTTTGAGGTTTTTTGTTCAGTCTGTAGTTGAGTTGCTGAAACCACTGCTGTGATATGAGCTGCCCTGGAGAGTTTCACAGCTTACTTCTTGCTGGTATGCGTGAATCGAGCCATGAGCATTCATACCTTGCTCAGCATAGTGTTAGATGCTAGACAAGAGTTCCAAAAGCTCCTTGCCTAATTGGCATTAAATAGAGACATTTGCACTGTTGTTACTATTGGAAGTAATATAATTCAGTATATATGTATATATATATACCTGGCCTTAACAATTGCTATATTATCAACTGTATCTGGCTATGAAATCAAGAACCCATAATACAATGTAAGTGGTGATGCACCTTGACTTTACTGGGGTTTAGTTTAGAGTAGGGCTGAACTAGGCTGAAGGCCTCCTCTTCCTTCCCAAGGTTCAAGACAGTTAAATTTAGGGAGTCTCTCTTGGCAAGTAAGCAGTCCTACTTATCTCTGTTTCTTCCTTGTCAAATTTACAACTGGTTTCCTGACCAAAGCTGGTTTTTAGCACCAGAATAGCTGGAAAACAATGCTATTACGTCTTGTTTTCATTTTATTGTGAATGTTTTCAATTGTTTTAGCTATCAAGCCTAGCTCGGGAACTTGAGGCAAAAGAATTCCTTCAGCTGAGAACTCCCTCTTCTGTTCACTTACGCAGCTGGATGGAGGACAGTGCTTCTGGCTGGAAGCCAGGCTGTTGGCAATTTGCCGATGTGCTATTGTGTGATCTAGGAAAAGACCCTTAAGCCTTTTTGGATCATGGTTAGATTGCCTGAATTCCATAAAAGTTCCTAAATCTTCTTTGTCCTACTTGTTCCCCGCTTACTGCCCTACTTGGACCTACTGAGTTGCTGCTTGGAAGCCCTCATCTCCGACTCGGTGCCATTGGACAGGTTGCACTCAGGCTAGCTGAAAATTGCCCTTTTTATTTGTCCATTTGCACACAAAAACTTACTGAACCAGGTTTTGTCCTGCCCAATAAAGCGGTTCGAAACATATTGATTTTGTATGTTGATGGTTAGCTGTTTTTATTAACTATATTTAATCTCCTGAAGTGTGAATGACCTTTATGCCGCTAATAGCCTGAAGTACTGAGGCAGTAAGAATATCCTCTGTTACGTTTTACTGACAACCCCTTCTCTGTCCCTGACTGGCTCCTTTGTTTGTCCCTTTAGATCTCTTGTCACCCTCTTTCAGCCATGTCCTCACTGACAATCCATTGTTTTCTGAGGCACACAGCTGATAGCGCTCCCG